TTTTTTTTTTCCCTTTTCTTTGCTGAGTTTTGCACCGAAACTGTCATATTGACCAGGTGGCCTGGCTGGTAGCCCCCCTACCTCAAGTCTTTTTGCCTCTGAGGATCCTACTTGTAATCAACGATCGATTTCAAATATTCAATGATCGATTTCAAATATTCCACGTCGTAACTATTTAGTTTTAGCCTTCTGCTTTAGACTGTTTTTGAGATGGATGCCGATCGGTGAATGATCGATTTCAAATATTCAATTTCGTGACCGTCGCCATGAAAACTATTAATTTTAGCCTTCCACTTTTAACTGTTTTTGAGATGGATGCCGATCGGTGAGTGCGAGAGCCGCGCAGCGCGGAGCCCGGAGAGAGTCTGCATATTTTTGTATATTCGTCCGAATTTTAGTTTTTTACGTATATCGCCAAACTAGAATTTTAGTGTGTGACGACCGCCTTTCTAGCGAACAGATCACGAGTTCAAATCCTCATGGATGGATGCAAATTAGAAATCGTACATGCTTTGCAACGGAAGTACATACGGGCTTATTATCCCTTTTGCAGCGGGCCTAGATGAGTCAGTAGTAGTTAGTACACCCATGAACTGTTGAAGTGCAGACCTTTTTTCCACTCCAACTGGAGTCAAAAAAGGAAGAGTTGGGAGTCAAAAAAAGACGAGTTCAGATAAAGTAAAGCACCTCTGTTTTTCTTTTAAACTGGGCTCGGTGAGTTTGAGGTATCTGTTTTTTTAATTATGTAATAAAATAATAATAATAATAATAATAATAATAATAATAATAATAATAATAATAGTAATAAATTAATAATAATAATAATAATAATTATATTATTATTATAATTATTATATATATTATAATATATATATATTTTTTAATAGCAACGAGAACAGGGGCTATCTCTTTTGCAGCGGAACCGGCTCAGACTCTATTTCAGGATTATTCTGTTATTCTATATCTTTTGTTTAATGGATCAAGGATGTGTTCTCTCTCTCGAGAGAGACGTATGTTCATTACAAATGTACAGATTCGTTGCATCTGCATGGAGTTTGCATCGAGACCACTATCTCACCTAAGTTCAGTTGTTACACCCATGAGCTGTTGAAATGCAGAGACCTGAGTTCAAAATTCAAATCCAAGTCGAGTCAGAGTCAGTTTGAGATTGAGATTGAGATTGAGATTGAGATTGAGTCAGAGTCAGAGTCAGATTATTATGGAGTGAAGTAACGCTGTTTTTTTTTTTTTTTTTTTTTTTTTAATCCTGGGACTGGGGTGAGTGATGTTAAAAAAAATGTGTTTTTGTTTTTTTTTTAATAGAAAAAAAAGAATTGAAAAAACCAAAATAAAAGATGGAAAGGATTGAGAGTTTGGAATTGTTTTTTTATTTTATTTTTTTTCTTCCGGCGGCTTGATTCTGTGGCACAGACAGAATGTACGACTGTTGTATGCGACGCGAAACAATTTGAAAAGGTCGTAAAAGTCGGCGGACGCCTCTCTTACGTGAGGAGGGTTGTGTATATGGAGGAGGAAGACAAGGCGGAGATGGTGACCGCAGCCCGGAGAATGAGAGAGGACTGGGATCTCTACTCCTTTGGTAAGCTGAAGGAAATCGGGAAGCAGCATCCGACCGATACGCGAATGCCGGTACCCGAGGACATTGCAGTGATCATGTACACATCTGGGTCTACTGGACTTCCAAAGGTGAGTAACGAAGTGCGTACACGATACGTATACATGCATGCAAGCAAGCAGAGTTCTCGATGTATCTGACTGAACCTTGCTTCCACTTGTACCTTGGTTTGGGCCCTGTGCGTTCATTCCCTAGTTTCACCTCGATGAGCTTTACCCTAGTTCCCACCTTCGGGGAGCTGTACCCTATGGTAGTTCGACCTCAGGGAGTCGCTGACTGCACCTGACGGAACTCTGTACCCTGGTTCCATCTGCATCTTGGGATTAACCTGAAAGTGCCCTACTTATCTCTTTGGGAATCTGTACCCTGGTTCGACCTCGGCAAGGTGTGGTGCCGCTAGTTTGAACCAGGGTACCTTAGTTTCGTTGTTTTCAGTTCTCATCTCCTGTTGTTGTTGTTGTTGTTGTTGTTGTTGTTGGTGGTGGTTGTTGGTGTTGGGGGTTGGGGTGGTGGTGGGGGTGGGCGGTGGTTTGGGTGGTGGGGGTGGATGGGGGTTGGGATGGTGGGGTGGGTTGGGGTTGGGTGGGGGTGGGGTGGTGGTGGTGGTGGTGGTTGCTGTTGCTGCCGGTGCTCTGGTGGTGTTGCTGTGGTGATGGGATGGTGGTGGTGGTTGTGCTGCTGCTGGTAGTTGTGCTGCTGCTGGTTGTGGTTTGTTGTTGTTGTTGTTGTCGTTGTTGTTGTCGTTGTTGTTGTCGTTGTTGTTGTGGTTGTGGTTGTTGATGTGGTTGTTGTTGTGTTGGTTGTGGTTGTTGTTGTTGTCGTGGTGGTTGTGGTGGTGGTGGTTGTTGTTGTGGTCTTTGACACGTTGTCGTGGTTGTTGTTGTGGTCTTTGACGCGTTGTCGTGGTCGTTGTTGTGGTCTTTGACACGTTGTCGTGGTCGTTGTTGTGGTCTTTGACACGTTGTCGTGGTCGTTGTTGTGGTCTTTGACNCTTTGACAAGTTGTCGTGGTATAGTTGTGGTCTTTGACACGTTGTCGTGGTCGTTGTTGTGGTCTTTGACACGTTGTCGTGGTCGTTGTTGTGGTGGTCGTTGTTGTGGTGGTCGTTGTAGTGGTGGTCGTCGTTGTTGTGGTCGTGGTTGTTTTTGTTGTCTTTGTTGTGGTTTTTGTTGTTGTTCTTGGTAGTGGTGTTACAGTCGGTGGTGTTGGTGTTGGTGTTGTGGTTGCTGTGGTTGTGGTTGTTGTTGTTGTTGTGGTGGTGGTCATCATTGGTGCTGGCTCATTGGCTTCGTCTTCCCCTTGTTCTTTTCCTTTGAGCACGATGGATTTTGTCAGAAATGGTTGAATGGTTCTTGGGGTTCTGTGTTTGATACTCTGACGGTGGTCACATTTGTTGGCACTCAAAACCTCGTCTTCATTTTCTTCTTCATCATCCTCTTCTCCTCCTCCTCTCTCCTCCTCCCTTCTACTCCCTTCTCCTCCTCCCTTCTCCTCCTCCCTTCTCCTCCTCCCTTCTCCTCCTCCTCTCTCCTCCTCCCGTCGTCAAGGTGAGTATCATTCTCCTCTCGCTCGCTTTCTGATCTTGCTCTCTCTCTCCTTTTTCCCGCCTTTCTCTTATTTTCTTCTCTCTCGTTTCTTTGGCTTGCAGGGAGTCATGGTGTCGCACAGCAATCTTGTTTCAGTGGCATCGGCTGCGATGTACATGATTCCGGATTTTAGCTCCAAGGACGTCTACCTGTCATTTCTTCCCCTGGCTCATATTTTTGCGCTCATCGCTGAGGTGTGCTGTTTTTTCTCTTCTCACCTTTTTCCAATTTCTCTCATCTATCCATATCCTTGCTGCCATCCGCGGGGCCCCCTGTCAAACTATCCCCCCTTGTGATCGCTCCCCCYCCCCCCCCCCTTCTTTTGTAATCTCCCACCCCCTGTGCAATGTCCCATCCCCTTTACCACCACGCAATTTCCTGCCCCTTCGCAATGTCCCACCTACCGCCATCCCCCTTGCCATTACCCCCCCGCTCCTCCCTTTGCAATTTCTCATCCACCCTCTTGCCCTTTCCCTTGGCTGAATGCTTTCTCTCTATTCTGTCCTTCGCTGCTGGCCTCTCCTCCTTTTTTTTTTTTCTTTGGTTGGGAATGCAGGCATTTATCTCTTTTCCCTTTGTGGCTTTCGGTGGAGTTTCGGATGACCCTTTTGCATTTTGCTCCTTGTCCTGCATGTGCCGCATTTCCTTCGGCTTCTCTTTCGAGTTCCCCCCCCCCCCCCCCCTTTTTTTTTTTTAATTGCTTGCCGGGGATCTTCAGCCCTTTGCCGTTCTGTATTGTTTTTTTTTATTTTATTTTTATTTTTAGAAAGCTAAATTTTTAAAGCCCAGCCAATTCAATTACCTGTCGAATCCGGACAGGATGCCCTTTCAGGCCTTTTTTATTGTCGATATAGTATTACAGGGAACCCCATAGCAGCCGCATCCCCGTGTTCAAGCCTCCAACGAGGGAGCATGCGGGAGCTGCACCCATCAGCAGGTGCGATACCTGCTACTGCAGGTGGGCGATACTCGCCAGGGGTCACTCGGTAGCATTAGGACTGCGCTTCTTCGATGGGCCAGTCGCTTAGCCTCCCCTGCGGTCCCCTCCCTTTACAAACGTCAGCACTCTCTGCTCGATGCTCGATCGGGGGGACCAACGACGACCTATCTCTAGGTGGCGGGCACCAAGCTTGGCCAGGAAGGTACATGAGTGAGGCCAATGGGGATTGAACCCAAGACATCCTGAATGCCACCTCCGTGCTTTACCACTGAGCTAGGCCGCTGGATCCCAATGGCCTTCCGATAGGTGATGGCATCGTCAGACCTTGAATCTATTGATTGAACAAAAAACAAAGACAAACGAACGAGGAAAAAAAAGGAAGTTTTTTTTTTTTTTTTTTTTTTAAAGAACAAAAAAAGAAATTATTGTATAATAATAATAATAATAATAATATGTATATCCATCAGGATTTGAAATTTGAACGTGTCTCTGTTGATTGATTGGCTGACAGTTATGTCTGTGTGTGTGCCATTCAGCCAAAGGTGTCCAGGTTCGGCCCTCATTATTGGCATCCAGTCTGTAATGACCGTACGTTCTTTTTTTTTTGTGTGACTGTAGTCTCTTCGGGGGGAGGATGGAGTGTCGGTGAGCATTGCTTTGCGAAGTGTCAGAGCATTGCAAAGTGTCAGTTAAAAAAAAGAAAAAGAAAAAAAAAAAACACATGTCTGTGCGTGCGGGCCTTTGTCGGCCACCAGGTGTTGGTAATAGTATCAAGAGTCTTTCAGTATTGGCAAATGTCCATCTCTATGTGGCATTCTTTTGTCTGGAAGAGCCCCTACGTTCCGCTAAGTGTGTCTATCACCTAAGTGCCTTAAGTGTCACAAAGTGTCGATAAGTGTTCTAAGTGCTGTGAAGTATCGTCGCTAAGTGTTCCAAGTGCTGAGAAGTATCACTAAGTATTGCTAAGTCCCCTAGGTGTGTGTGAACACCTCAGTGTCGTGATGTGATGCAAGTACTGTTAAGTGTCCATAAGTGTCTGTAAGTGTCCCTAAGTGTGTCCGTAAGTGTGTCTACGCGCCCCTAAGTGCTGCTAAGCATTGCTAAGTCCTAAGCAGCCTAAGTGCTGTGGTCCTAAGCAGCCTAAGTGCTGTGGCGCTAAGTATTTGTAAGTGTCCCTAAGTGTGTCTAAGCGCCCCTAAGTGCATTATGTATTGCTAAGTCCTAAGCACCCTAAGTGCTGCGGCATTGTTAAGTATGTCTATGTTATGAACATGATTGCCTGTTGAAATTTTGTCAACGCTCACTCACAGGAACTCCTGCACACGCCCATACATGCACAGAAGGGGAGAGGTAGTGGAGTGTCACACCGCCCAACAGAAAGAATGCAGAGGAAGACTCAGAGGAGCGAAGTGACTGAATACACAACTCAGTGAATTCTCTCCACACGAATCCCAACAATCATTCATAGAAGACAACCGAGAGATCACAGCCAGAAATCAAATGAAGAGATGATAACTCAAACAGTGTTACAACTGTCTATTAAACTCAGAGCATCGTTTTCACTGAATAGACTCAGAACCCTGTTGCGCTACCCTCAGAGGGGTAGCGCCTCAACCCCACACACACCGAACAGCTAAAAATAGCACCAGAACCCCAGGTAACACCCAGCGCCACCCTGACATCCAACTCAGTGGCCTGCGCCAAGATGAAACAGGCTCCCAGAGCCAATCGCCACTCAGATGATGAGGAAGAAGCTCAGCGCCAACAGTCCCTGATGRAGATSAAKTCCRGAYGMTGATAWTCTCTGAGAAGATGCAGCTATGGCTGCATCGCCACTGGGACCCTACTCCTGAGGAGGGTCAGCAGTGCACCACGTGCTCCAACGCATCAGACCTCTGATAGCCCAGACTGCTTTCACTCCCAGAGAGTCAGAGTGGACAGCATTGACCCCAGTCTGGTCAGCGCTCCCTGTGCAGCGACTTCCACCACGAAGTGTCAACTGCCAAAAGCCCTGGACCGAGTCTCGCAACCTATCTATACTCTATCCTAGCCTAGACTTGACCTAGACCGGACTGACTGACCGACCGGTACCGTTTCTGTTTCGGCCCTTAGGGCCTCTCCCTACCCGGCTATAGGCTCTAGGACCGTTTATCAGTGTAGGCCCATTGGGCCTGTCTGTCCTAGGGGTAGCCCGGGTCTGCTATTCGCAGTTAGGGTAGCTGTAGGAAATTCGAGTTAGTACTGGGCCCACATTTCCTATATTTACAAATATGTCCCTCACGAATTTTCCTCACAGTTAGGTCTGTCGGTTAGCCTTCAGCCAAACAAAATTACGAATCTGTCCCTACCTATGGTACAGCCTCGTCAGAGAGAGGCTACAGGCAACCTGGAACCAGCAAGTCATTGCATCTAAGTGGTGCTAAGTGTCCCTAAGTGTGTCTAAGCGCCCCTAAGTGCCGCTCAGTGTCGCTAACTACTGCGAATACCCCATAGTATTGCAAGAGCCGCTAAGTGACCCAAATTACTAAGTTTTGCAAGAGCCCCCAAGTGCAGCTAAGAGTCGCTGAGTGTCCATTGTCAGTCAGTTTGACATTTAGCTGCACTTAGGGGCTCTTGCAGTACTAGGAGGAGAAGAAGAAGAAGAAGAAGAAGAAGAAGAAGAAGAACAACAACAAAAGAAGCCAAAACAAAACCTATCCAAATACAAAAAATGAAAGGTAACTTCATTATGGTAGTATACCAACCAGTTTCAAAACTTCCAGTTCCTATCAAAGCATAGAGATCTGTGAAAAAGTTGGTATGTATAGCCACTTTAGTAGTACTRGTTTCTGGATTCGAAAAACAGAATCTTTTTTCTGGAAACATAACAAAGATATCAACACTACGCGTCAAATCTTCAGTGCTTTGCAGGCGCTCGCAAGAAATCAGTTTTTCAAAGAAGAAGAAGAAGAAGAAGAAGAAGAAGAAGAAGAAGAATCTTCAGTGCTTTGCAGGCGCTCGCAAGAGATCACTTTTTCAAAGAAGAAGAAGAAGAAAAAGAAGAAGGAGAAGAAGAATGCTAGGAGGAGGAGGAGGAGGAGAAGAAGAAGAAGAAGAAGAAGAAGAAGAAGAAGAAGAATGCTAGGAGGAGGAGGAGGAGAAGAAGAAGAAGAAGAAGAAAAAGAATAAGAATAAGAATAAGAATAAGAAGAAGAAGAAGAAGAAGAAGAAGAAGAAGAAGAATGCTAGGAGGAGGAG